AATCACAAAATCTAAAATATTTTCCAAAATTGATTTAAAACACAGTTTCTGGTTAATTCCTCTTGATGTTGATAGTAGAAAATATACAGCATTTATGATCGATGGAGTCATATATCAATTCTGTGTAGTGCCATTTGGAATTCAAAGCGCATGTGCAGCACTCGTTAGAACTTTGCATTCTTTTCTTAATAAATATGAAGATTTCTTGCTTCACTATATCGATGACATGCTCATTTATTCTGAGAATGAAAAAATACATCAGGAACATTTGAGTATTATTTTAAACGAATTAGATCAGGCAGGACTTAAAATTAATTTAGAAAAATGTAAATTTTTTCAAAAGGAAGTGGATTATTTAGGGTACATAATAGATGATAAGGGAGTTAGAATGGATCCCGATAGGGTTAAAACCATTCAAAATTATGCTAGACCCACAAATCCTAAAACTTTGAGGGGATTTCTGGGGATTTTAAATTATTTTAAGAGGGTTATCCCGGATTTAAGTCGAATGGAAGTACCACTAATACAATTATTAAAAAAGGGGGAAAAGTGGAAATGGACGGAAGAGCGTCAACAGGCTTTTAATGAATTGAAAGAAGTATTTTCAAAAAATTTGCAAGTTTATCATCCTAAGTATGATGTTCCATTTATTTTAAGGACTGACGCTTCAGTAGATAGGTTAGCAGGAGTTTTAATTCAAAATCACGGGGGAATAGAAGTGCCTATTAGTTTCGTATCAAGGGTTACAAAGAATTTCGAAAGGAAATATTCAATTACAGAGTTGGAATTGGCTAGCATAGTATTTAGTGTTAATAAATTAAGATTTTTTTTATTAGGGCAAAAATTTTATATAGAATCTGACCATTCAGCTCTAACTTCTATTATGAATAACCGATTTGCAAGTAATAGAATCCATAGGTGGTTATTAAACTTGCAAGAATATGATTTTGTAATTAGATATTTGCCGGGAAAATTAAATTTAGTTGCCGATGCCATCTCTCGGCAAACAGAGCCAACAGAGCAAATCAGAAAATATAGAATAGGAGTGAACGTTTTGGTTAAAACAGAGGGAATATTTTCTTTGAAAAAAATAAGGGAAGATCAATTAAATTTAAAGGATAATGAAACAAGAGGTAGCCAAGTGGTTGATAATATTTTGTATAAGGAAATTGGGGAAAGTGAAAATTACATTATTACACAAAAACTAGCTAGGGAAATTTTAAAAGAACTTCATTATGAGTATGGGCATATTGGGTCAAGAAAACTATGGTTATTATTTAGGGAAAATTATTGGTCACTTAAAGACATGAACTTAGCCAAAGAAATTACAAGAATGTGTGAAACATGTCAAATATGTAAAAATAAAAACTTTAAAAATGTTAACAATTTTAAATCAATTATAGCAGAAAAACCATTGGATATTATCGCATTGGATTTCATTAGTAATTTAGTTGAAAGTGACAATAACAATAATCATATCCTGGTAATAGTAGACATTTGCACAAAATTTGTAAAGACATATCCATGTAAACGCATAAATACCAAAACAGTAATAGAGAAAGTAAAATGTTTTATACAAGAATGTGGTGTGCCTAAAAAGGTTATAATGGATAATGCTACATATTTCACAAGTAAAAAGATGAGACGTTTTTGCCAAATTAATAATGTTCAACAAAAATTCATTAGTATTCGACATCCAGCTGCTAATCCTGCAGAACGATATGTTCAAGAAGTCATAAAATTTCTTAGGATATCATGTCATCAGAATCAAGATCAGTGGGAAAGTAATTTAAAAAAGGTTGAGGTTTTCCTTAATGAAGTTCCACATATTACAACGGAGGAATGTCCCATGCTATTAATGTTAGGAAAAAATCCTGAAAGAAAATGGATTAAAACTGAAAACAGGGAATATGAAAATATTATGACAAAAGTTAAAGAAAATATTGAGAAATATGAAAAGCGGGCAAGAAAAAGGTTTGAAAAACGAAAGAGGAGGGGTATAATTTTTAATACTGGGGAATTAGTTTTAGTCAAGGCATTACAGGTGGCTAATAGATCTAAAAATCAATGTGCGAAGCTAACAGCAGCATACGAAGGTCCGTATAAAATAGTAAATGAAAATCCACAAAATAGTTATCTGTTAGTAGACCCAGTAACAAACAAAGAAAGGGGAATATTTAACATTGAACAAGTGTACAAGTATTATCCGGATGTTTCTAGTTCTGAGTGATAGACAACATTCTTATGATAATATTTTTTTACGGTATCTAGTTATTAATAAAGTAGGAAGTTGAGAATTTTGAAAAGTAAGATTTTAATAATGTCTGAATTTGGAAAAAGAATGAAAATAAGAATATGAAATAATAATTTTCCAATTATTTAAGAGTATAATATCATCTAATACAGAGTGTTTTTTTTAAAGAAAGTTAGTTACAACAAGTTGGATATCAAATTTTATAGAAGGTTGAATTAAGAGAAATCTTATTTTGAAAAACATAGATAATAATTGTAAAAGAAAGCTGAAAAGATATTATGAAATAGTAAATGGAATAATAATAAATGAATATGAATTATAAAATGAGTTTATGTGATGTAATATTATTGAAAATAAAATATTATAGTGGGATATATAAATAAAATTAGAACGAACAGAATATGGCATAAGAAAAGGTAATGATATAAAAAGTTAAGGCAATTGAAGTTTGTGTTTAAAAAAATAAAACTATCTAAATTTGAAATTTGATCATGTTTAACAAATGAAAAGAAGATCACTCTGTGTAAGATTTTTCTATGAATATTAAAATTGTAAAGAATAATTTTCTTTAATTAAAACAAATACATTTTCCAGAATTCTAACAAATAAAAATGATTAGAATCAAAATAGAATTAATAGTAAGGTATTTTTAGTTTGAGACTTTGTAGTTGTATTACATAAGCAAAGGGTTGATATTTTAATGCAGGATTATAAGTAAAGAATTAAAATTGTAATTTTTTTCTCTAAACAAACATGAATGTTTGCATCAAAGAAAAAAATTAAAATTTGGGGATTTTATAATAATATCAATAACAAAACAATAATAATAATAATATTAAAATAATTAGAATGAACTAAAATAACAAGAATACACCCTGTAGAGGAAAAAAAATATAAATGAGGAAAAAATGTCACATAAAAATTATGAAGGGTTGTGAATTTTTAAAATTTAAAAAAAAAGGATGTCAGAAATTTGTAAAAAGGAATAATATTGTAAATTGAAAGATATATTAAAACATTTAAATAAGCAAACTTTAAAAATATACGCTGTAAAGAACTATATAAGATTTGTTAGAAAAAGAAAGAAGAGGAAAGAATAAATTGAATAGATGATTGAAATAGCGAGTAAGCAGCAGTGATACAAGGACGGTATCCGGTATTTACAAACATTTTATTTATTTTTTGTGCAAATAACTGACTAAAATTGAAAGTTGTAAATATAGTTTTAGTTTAGATTTAATAATATTTTGGAGTAATGAGCTCAATTAATGATAATTATTGTTTATTTTTGTAATTTTCATTGAAAATAGTTACATTTTTTTTAATGAGTAAGTAGGTTTAGTAGGTGTAGTAGGGGTAGCGTTATTCCAATTCTTACAGATATTAGAACATCTGTTATTTGTTCAGTTTTTTTTTGGTTTTGTTAAAATTAAACAATAATTTAATTTTGTAAAGTTTGTTTATCTAAGCATTTAATAGTTCAGTTTATAAATTATTATAATTATTCTTGAACCGACACCAATGAGAGAAAGAGAACCTGCTCTTAAAAAGTATATTTAGAAGGCTAGCCGAGGTAGGTTAAGTTTATTGGGTATTTTTAAATTGTGAGACTATAGAAACCATAACAGTATATTATACAAATCACAACGAACTACACAAAATGATATTATTATTAATTTAGCAATAAAAAAGTTAAGTACAATGATGACATTAAAAGTTGATTTTCTCGAAATTACTTTTTTTACATTGTCTCAAAACCTACCTACTATTTTTCTAGCAATGATATTTCTGTCATTTTACAACATGTTATTAAATCATGCTGTTTATAATTATAACTCAATTTCCTTGTAATTTTTCTTTAGTAATTTAAAAAGCATGATTGAGTAACACGTTGTAAAATGAGAGAAACGGCCGCCATTTTTAGTCAATTTCCCAGCCTTAAGTATCGCCATTCATAGTTGACAGGCACGGCTGCCCATATTATGAAATCAATATGAATACCTACCTAAAGTACATAAAAGATGCATTAAATTTTAACAACAATAATAGGTACATATTTAAAACCCTAAAGTTAAATCGAAAATTCTGAAAATCATTATGGTTCTAAGTTAGAAGAAATTTTATTCGTTAATTGGGAAATAGGTAGGTATACATTTTTTTTTCTGAACCGTTTTCAAAATAGTATTAAATAAATAACCGAATTGCTTAACTAAGAGGGTTATATGATAAATAAAATACAGTAATACAGTTATATATTTTCATTTTCGATATTTTCAAAAAAAAAAAAAAGATCAGAACGCCCTTATAAGGATTTGAACATGGGTTGCAGAAAACAAAAGGCAAGTGTGCTAGCCACTGGACCAATTTATTTTTCTAATCAAGTATATATGACCCTAGTATGTTTACAACCTTTTTATGACGTCTTTGATGAACGCTCAAACATTGCGAGGACGGCAGCAAAGTAGGTATAACTCTTACAGTAAAAAATTAAGCTGTACCTATGTGTGCAATGTAAGCTGGAGGAGCCAGATACACTTTTAGATGCGTTGTTTGTGCAAGGCAAATGCAAAATTAAGTGCATATTTATCATTCATTCTTACCTTGTACAACATGGAAATATACCTACTGATTAACCAGAAAAAAATTGCACGAATGCAATACTGTAATAATCCAACCTGAAAGTCTCACAGATACATACTTTCTAGCATCCAAAAAATAGTAACTACCAAGACTAAAAAATACTTACCTTCAGATTTAGTTATGTGGTTAAGTAACAAATTGAGATAATCATCATTATGTAGTTTTAATTTGGGCTGAAGCAACTTTTTAAGAACTTTCAAAAGTTTTGGGTTCACTTCTTCAACTTCAACGTCACCTGCTAACAAATAATACAATTTCATTATTTATTTATTGATGGGAAAACACCATTACATTCTTAAATATATTAAATTTCAACTATGCATGTATATACAGGACTTATTTAAAACTAAAATATGTTTTTTTAAATATACAAAACTGACAACATAAACATAACTAGTGAGAGGGTATAGTTAAAAAAATTACAATTGTATTATTTTGTCTAAATTTATTGTAGGAGTTATTGAAAACATCAATGTTTTTACTGTCATTTAGGATGTTAAGTGTTTTGGTAAATATACATGCCTTATGGAAATAGTATTAATAAAAACAAAAATAAAGATAAAATGAACAAGATATGTATAGATCAGTGGTCGCCAACCTCTCAATGTGTTGAGCTACTTTGTTAATTTTGTAATAAACAGCGAGCTACCCACACGGAAGCCACGTAACGCAACGTAAATGAAATAATCAACAGTTAATTTATCATTATATGTATTTATTTGACTATTTAACTGGTAATACATAATACATAGGTACTAATAATAAACTAATAACAAAATAACTAATATTACTAGTACGTACTTGTTCATAGCTACATTCCTACCTACCAAACGAAGGTGTTTGAAAAATAAACACAAACTTTTATCCAGCCACAACGGCATGTCACGTAAGATTTAAAAATAACAACAAAAAAGTAACGCACTATCATGAACATAAACATTGAAAAATAAAAAAGCACGTTCAATGAGAAGGCTGACACTCAGACTCATCGATAATTTTTTTAATGTTTGCAGTATAATTTGATACAGCCATTCGAATACAATTATCCAAATGTTCATCTGTAAGTAGATTGCGATATTTGTTCTTAATAAACTTCATATTGGAAAAAGAAGATTCACACAAATAGGTTGAACTGAATAATGCTTTCACTTTCAAGGCAACACGGCAACAGAACTGAATATTTGTCTTTACTTACAATAGGCCAGATACATTTGGTACTTGAGACTAACGATTTTAAGGCTAAATCATTTTAAAACTCAATTACTTCCATTTCTGTTGCAGCGATGTCTTCGCCAAAGTTCTGCATAACACAAGATGCAAACTGTTGGATATCAATTTCCATAAAGGGTGAAACATCAAACTGCGCTACTAAAGCCATTTCGTTGAAATCCTTAAAACTATTTTTGAAGTTATTTTTCAACTATTTCTACATGATATTTGCTGTCATAGGGTTCTAATGGATTTTGAGATATTTTTTCTGAAAGAATAGGAAAATGTTTGGCATCGCTGTTAATTAGGTTTTGTTCCCAAAACTCCAGCTTTTTGATAAATGCTTTTATATCAAAAATCATTTCCGCTAGTTCTTTGTCTCTCCCCTGAAGCTGCAAATTAAGTTCGTTTAATTTCTCTGTAATGTCCTAAAGAGTTCAAGAGTGAATTAGAGGAAACCAAAATCTCTAAGCCAGATTTAATTTTCTAGTTCCGGAGTCAAAGAATACCTACCCAAGAAGCGAAACTGAATTAGTTTTCATATGTACCAAATCAAGGGAACTTAATACACTGGGAAACGTATGAAAATTAATCAATTTTTGTCGTTTGGTTCATAAGAATTAAAAACATACTAAAGTAACAATGATAGAAAATTCTTACTATGTTCATTATGTCAAATTTTAATAAGAAATAAGTACCATAGGTACAATAATGACACTCACTACACAATAGCGAAAGCAGATGATCTGGTCATTCTGCAAATAGGACCATTTACTGTTTATCAATCCCAAGAATTCATTCACAAGGAAAAGGATGAAAATTGAATTAAAACCTACAGAGAGCTCTTAAACACAAAACAAAATTTTGCAACAGAGGTGAAGTACCTAGGTAGCATCTTTGATAACAATTTAACATGGAACTCATACTAAAAAGAGCATACATTACTTAAGAACAATGCCGCCGAACCGTAAGGCGCACCTAGGGTTTCTCCCCCAGAGTCGTCACACGGACTTACATGGCCATCATAAGACCTATGCTAACATAAGGTGCAGTTGTCTGAGTACCGAAAATCCAAAATAGAACAAATTCAAATAACAGTATGTCTCAACATAACAGGAGCCATTAAAACCACATTAAGCAGAGCCATAGAAGCCATTCTTAGTCTTGCTCACCTTGATATTTATATCAAGGAGGTTGCTCTGAAGACAATGATACGCCTCTGGAATAGAACCTGATGTACGATCTGATGAAGCGAGACGCCGCTTTTGGCAAAACGCGCTCGATAGACTCGCACTGCTTCAAGCGAACATGAACTTCATCTTACCAAGATATATATCACTGGTAGGAACGTGCTTATCTATACAGATAGCAGATATGCATTATTTGTCCTGAACACACTACAAATTTACTCAGTGTTAGTACTAGAATGTCACGCAGCTTTGGAATGAGTATCCATCCAACAAAGTGGTCACCTTAAGATGGATCGAAGGTGACGCCACATCGAAAAGTAGCCTTCTTGCTAATTCACTAGCCAAGAAGGCGGCCAACCAAATACTTTTTGGACCTGGCTTTTCTATTGGATTGACAACATCGGTAGTGACAGATCTAATTAAAGAATATTCCATTGTGAAACTGAAGGAAAGATGAGATGAAACAAGAAACTTCAGAGTTACCAGGAAGCCTTTAAGTTATCCTGACAACACTACAACAAACAAATACTTGACTATGACTAGACAAAATCTTCGTCTGATCACAGGCATTCTGACTGCTCATTGCCAAGTACGGAAGCATCTCCATTTCGTGGGGCTCTCAGAATCCTCACCCTGCAGGGGGTGCGAACAAAAAGATGAAACCATTGGGCATATCCTCTAATTGCCCGTCGATCTCATTTATTGGAAGATTTGTTTTTGGCGAGTATTGGCTAACACCGGCCGATATAAGAGAAGCACTTCTTGGCGACGTTGTCAACTACTTTAAATTTGTAGGCTGGCTCACAAGCTGGGAGGTGCCTATCATCTTGGGAGAATACACAATGGGCCTAGTTAGACCTAAGGGTCGTGTGGGTAACCCACCCGCCACACGTTACATATTCAGAAGTACTGTAGGTAGCTGTAACTGCATTTCGATTGCATCCTGATAGCAGCGACTTGGTTTCTCGAAGTGAGTTTGTCATATATTTTAATTATTTTTTTGTATTATTGTTTATTTACTGTTTTAATTGGATTGGTTTGAAAAGTAATTAAACGTAGGCGTAAATTATCATTAAAGGTACTTAACACTGATTTAGAATTAAAAAAATAAACCATTTACAGTTAGATGCAAGAACATTTAAGGAGGTCCTTTCGCCACCAATGTTAAATAAAAAATATTAGATTATGACTAAAATTATTTTTTTCTAATAGTTGAAGTCCTTATTTATCTAATAGTGAATTTTTAACTATACCTTACCGTGCAAATGTTTAAGAATTTTTTTTTAATGTGATTATTTGTACAGTGTCTTACGAGAAAGTAAGACCTCAACAACAATTTTCGAATTATAATTAAGTATACTATTATTTATTGATTAGATGGAGTAGAAAAAAACTAAAAATAAGGTTTTTGAAATATTTAGGTTTTGTTTTTTACAATAAAATATATAGGTTACCGCGGAATTTACTGAGAAATTATTATTAAAAAATCACAAAAATTTTCAACTAAGTTACTTGAAAATTTTTTGTGATTTTTAATATTAATTTCTCAATAAGTTCCACGGTTTACTATATATATTTCATTGTATAAAACAAAATCTAAATATTTCAAAAACCTTATTTTTAGTTTTTTTCTACTCCATCTAATCAATAAATAATAGTATAATTCGAGAATTGTTGTTGAGGACTTACTTTCTCGTGAGGCACTGTACAAATACTCACATTTTAAAAAAAAAATCTCAAAAATTTGCAAGGTAAGGTATAGTTAAAAGTTCAGTATTAGATAAATAAGGACTTCCACTATTAGAAAAAAAATAATTTTAGTCATAATCTAATAACTTTTTTTTTTAACATTGGAGGCGACTACTTTTAATTATACTGCAATTTTCACAAAACGCTAACAATAATATACCAAACGTTCCTCTACATACATTGACAGCTATACTTGACGTTAAACCACCTCTAAAACACTGAGAAAACTTCGCAGTTTTTGTCCACGAATCGCCCATTTAATTTCGCTTCTTGGGTAGGTATTCTTTGCCGGAGTCGGTTCATCGCGTTGTTTGAAAAATTGAACTATGCCAGATAGGACATCATTAAAACGTTTCAGCACCCGTCCTCTACTTAACCATCGGACTTCAGAGTGAAGGAGTAGGTCCCCGTAATGACAGTCAACTTCATCGGCCAAGGTTTTGAATAATCTTTGTAACGCTTGAGCTCTAATCTTGTTCACAATTTTTACCACCAGTTTCATAACGTTGTTTAGTTTCAGGAAATTTCCACATAATGCTTGCTGATGGATAATGCAGTGGTAACAGAGAAATTGCGGAAAAGTTTCATCTTTATGACATAACGCCACCAGACTCTTATCACAACCCACCATAGCTGGAGCGCCATATTGGAATTTTCTCGGAAGAAATAATATTTTTTAAATGAGAAAACAACTCCTGTCCAGTAGTGTGTCCTTTCAGTGGAATAAACATCAAAAGATCTTCTTTAATCGTAAAATCACTAAAAACCATCCTGACGAACACGGCCATCTGGGCAGTGTCAACGACATCTGTTGATTCATCCAGTTGAAGTGAAAAATAAACACAGTTATCTAAGTCAGTTCTTAACTGTAAAAAAATATCATTGCTCATTGCTTCTACACGTCTCATCACTGTATTAGCAGAAAGTTGCATAGATTTTATAGCTGAAACTATCTCGTCTTTATTTCTAAAGTTGGCAAATAACGATGCAGCAGCTTCTAAAAACGCCTGTTTTATCATTTCCCCGTCTTCATAAGGTTTCTTTTTTTGTGCAATTATCTGGGACACACGGTACGATGCTTCAGTTGCAG